CTACACTCATAATAATAAGTACAGGTCATAAACAGTTGTTTATACAACAAAGAGAATAAGAGGAACTTGGCAACTTAAAAAAGAGGGGGAAAAAAATCTTGCCCCTGGCAAGACTCACTGCAGCTGCCCAGGGAAATCACTGTGATGGACAGTGAAGTCTCCTGGCTCTGTCTTTTGCAGTTGCACGTGACTCCTCACGTGCTGCCAGAAGTCTTGGTGTTAAGGGAGCAAACGCGAGCTTCAGAGTTTGTACTGATTGTTTGAGGAGAGGGTAAGTCTCTTACAGTTTATGGATAGAGACAGGAAGCCTCAGTTTCCCAAAAGCCATAGCAAACATCTGCCTCAGGGCCTCTTGTTGAGTTACATTCTCATCTCTTGTAGCCCACCATGGGAGTCAGGAGTGGCCACTTTTTTATATGAGGAAATTATGGTCATTTTGGTTTCAGAATGAGTGGTTAAACCATCCAACATATATTAGAAATAAATACTCTGTGTGGTTGAGGATAACTGAGATTGGATATTGTCAAAAGAAGAGGCCAAAAAGTTGCAGGGTTGACAGCCGCTCACCATAGAAGGCTTCAGGGTCTTCGGGTCATAATTCAGTAACTGTTTCTGAAAGAACAAACAAACAAAAATACTTTCTTTTCCTAGGCAAGAAGGAGCTTCTCAAGGAAAGATGGACTCCTAACTAGTCAGGCTAGAGAAGCTGGGTATGGGGGAGCCCATGATTCCAGTGCTTGGGACACTTAGACAGGAAAGTCACCTCAAGTTCAAGGCTCGTTTTGGCTGCACAGCAAGTGCCAGGCCAGCCAGGACTGCACGGGTAAACAGGCCTGCACCTGGTAGGGAGGTCGTGGAACCTGGCTGAAGAGCCGCGACAGTTTCACACAGATTAGAGGAAGGCTCCAGCTGCTTTGCTAGAGGTTCATTCACACCACTCTGCGACACCTCAGTTCCCGCGAGATAAACATCTGCCAAGCATTTGAAGAACAAGTATATGGAAATTGTTTTCTGACAAATTGTGATTATCTTAACTTTAAAATAATTGGTACAACCATCTTGTATATTTATATATACATTCATTTAGATACATGAAGAGAGAGGACATTATGTCTAAAAATTATGAAAGAAAGCTGGAAGCATGCTTAGTTGAATGGAATTTGGACATTTCAGCAATCATCTTGTTTCTAGGGTTTTGCAATAGTGTGGCATCCATTAAATAGCAAGCGTGTTGTACATTTCAGTGTGTGGTAACATGAAGAAATGACTTCATAGCCGCTCGGTCTGCTCTGATGTGGTTTATGATGCCATCTGGATTCTTTGGTGGAATTATTTTCCATCTAAATCACTGTAAACTTCTAGTTAGCTTTCACAAATCTGAAGCCAGATCTGTTTGTGGTTTTTGGCAGTGATGTAATTCTGGAACATACTGTGACTGTTAAAAGTAGTCATATACCATTAGTATATAACTCTGTGTTTCACATCATTTCAGACAAACTAGAAGCCTGAAAAAAATCCACTTCTCCACTTGAAGATTTTACACTTCAGTGTTTCCTGTCTGCCTTGCCACTCACATTTGATCATATGTTAGTTGGGATGGGTGGAGAGCCATGTGAGGCTCCGGAGAGTGCTGCCCTTGGTTAGGAGGCTCAGATACAATGTTTTGCTGATGTATGCTTTGTTCCTGTACAGTAAAGAAAGAGAACAAGCCTCACTTCCTTGGCTGACAGTGTAGAAGTGAGTGGATTATATTTCAAAGCGTATCCATATTTGGGATGTACACAGCCAACTGCATGGAAAGAAACGAAACAACTAAGTTCTTCCTTTCTCAGATACCTATAGCCCAGCTGTCCGCCAGCCTGGAGCAATACCAAAATTGCAGCACTTTCTTGAAGAAACTGGGGACCTGAAAGTCAACAAAGTCTGAAGATTTTTCAAGGTCCTTTATTCTTTTGGTGGTGGTGGTGGTGGTTTTTTTCAAGACAGGGTTTCTCTGTGTAGCCTTGGCTGTCCTGGGCTAGCTTTGTAGACCAGGCTGTCCTCAAACTCACAGACTCACAGAGATTACCAGCCTCTATCTCCCCAAGTGCTGGGATTACAGGTGTGTGCCACAGCACCTAGTGGTCCTGGGTTCTTATTCTTCATCTCCCTCCCCCCACCCAAGCCTTAGAGGTCTGAGGGTGGGACATGTCACTGGTAAACTCAACCTATAGTGTAGAACTGACACAGAGGACAGAGAAGGAGTGTAGTTCTCACAGAGCCGGAGAGAGCAGGATTCATGGGCTTTTGGCCATCAGTATATAAATATAAAGTGAGTAGAAAAACAAAGAAACGGTGCACACCGTTAGTCCCAGGACTCAGTAGGCTGAGGCAAGTGGATCTCTGAGTTTGAGGCCAGCCTGGTCTACCTTGTCAGGACAGCAAGGGCTATTACACAAAGAAACCCTGTCTCGAAAACGAAAACAAAAACAAAAACAAAAAAAAAAGGAGGCAGAGGAGGAAAAAGAATTTAAAACACACACGCACAAAGAAAAAGAAACTGGTCAGGCTGTACACTGCTGGATCAATAGAGGCAAAGAGTAACCTCCCTATGAAGGTGGCATAGTTTCTAAAGTATGAAGAAGGTGTTTTTTAAAGTCTCTTCAGCAAGGCACAGGGATCTGAGAAACACCCATACAAAGGGCTTCTCCACATGTATCAGAACATGTGGAAAGCCTGGGTCTAGGTTCTGACACTGTCACCTTGAGAGAGTATAGATTCCTCAAATGTGAAGGGAGTTTTGATTTGTTGGTCTCTCCAGCCCTGAGATCATGAAGAGCCAACGTCATCTGCCTCATCATCTTAAGCATAGACCACAGACTGAACATCTAGAAACTATAATGATAGTTTTTCTGTGGGCACGGTAGAACACTGTCCTCTGGACACAACATGGCCATTGTCCTCTTGAACTCTCAGCAGCTGTAATTATCCACAGGAGACCTGCACAAGATAGGGGCTATTAACATTAGGTCTTAGAGGGGAGGAAAGGGCTCTTGAGGCAGGACACACTAGAAGTATGAGGCTCCCTCCCCCTTCTCTAAGGACATAGAAGAAGGTGGGGAGATTTTTTTTCAGATATGTTGCCCAGTGCTACTGTAGATAGCCTCTCACCTGGACTACTATAAGTGCCTCAGTTAAACTCATCAGTTCTCCAAACTACACTTGAGTGGGATAATTTCTTCCATCTGTCATTGGCATTCTATCTGAGTTAGATGATGTATGTTTATGTCTCCCTAGAAAAAGGTCCTGCAATAACGTGGCAAATGTTTGAGATTAAAATATGAAAGACACCAGACTGGCCCCTAGTATTACAGCGATGGAAACATAAAATTCTCTGAGTTTGCATTCTGGCAAGAGAGGCAGAAAATCAAATACCTAACTCAACAAGTTAAGTTGGTACTGATAATTGCAAAGCAGAGCATTGGCAGAGGGACGCCGTGTGACCTCTAAACAGATAATGTTCAGTTGAGGACTGATCTGAAGGACAAAGCTGACTGTGAGACTGGGACAGGGCTGACAGGGTGAGATGGAGCAGAGGAGGTCTTCAGGAAGTGTAACACAAACTGTGGCCCATTGAGCTGGCAAGCAGGAATTAGAGACAGACTGGTACCAGATAATTTGGGAGCCTGGGAGCAACTACAAGGAGCTTGGACTTCATCCCATGTGCAGGAAAGTCTGTGGATGGTTTCAAGCAGGGAAACGAAAGGATCTGCTTTACATTATCAAAAAGATGAGTCTTGGTGATTCTATAGAGAATAAATTATAGCAGGATAAAAGAAGGGAAGAAAACAGTTAAGAGACCGTTAGTAGCAGCAGCCAAGGTGAAAGATGGCGATGACTTGAGCCACAGCGTATCAGAAACATTTGGAATGAAGGAATTGCTATGGGAATATGGAATGAGGGGTCTAGGGGGGGGGGGGGGGGGGGGGGGGGGGGGGGGGGGCTGCCCCGCCCTCCATGCATTTCTGCCAGTTCTAACATAAATCTTCATTTCCATGCAGCAAACTCCTGGTAGGTCCTACTGTTCATGCCTTTTGTTTCTGTCCAAGAGAAGGGATTTTGGCTCTGTTTTTGCTAGACTTACTGTTTTTTCAGTTCATAATTTCTGTGAGTGAGGCAAGTGTACAAGTTCACTTCTTAGTTCTGGTCACTGCTCCCTGCGCATGGGTTCTGCCTCCGCGAGTGAGGACGCTCTTTCAGAACTGGGCACTACTGGATTACACACCTCTGGCCTGCACCGTCACTGGAGTACGTTCACAATTTAATACCGCAGCTTCACCCAACAGGCCCAACGACAGCTTAAGACATTACATTTTGATTTTAGTTTAGAGGTGTGTGGGCGCACTTGTACGTGTGGCGGTCAGTGGACAGACGACTTTGCAGAGTCTCTCACCTTTGCATGATCACCAGGCTCCATTAACCACTGCCCACTGCCCAAAAGCTGTAACTTGCGTATGCATACAGGGAATGTACGTGTCTACTTCCCTGTATCCTGAGCAACACTGGCTGTCTGTAACTGTGGTTCATTCAACACATGCTTGAAGAATTACTGTCTTTTCCTGTGCTTCATTGTTAACTAGCTCATGTTTGTTGGCTCTTTGTATTTCTTCTATTTGAAATTTTCTGTCCATCTCCTCTGACTATCTAGATGTAAGGTTGCTTTATATATTGATTTATTAGATCTCTTTGTATGTTATCAGCGTGTTTCACTCAGCCTGTAATATATTTTATGGAAAATGTCTTCCAACTTATTGCCAAAATGGACTTTGTTTTTTAAATTGCATTTAGGACCCTCTTCACCATAATCCAATGATGTAAGGTTAGATGAAGTATGAAATAAGCTTTGCAATTCTTACTTTTAAAGTAGTTAAGATGAAAATTAAAAATGAATAAGAACACAGGCATTAACTGTCTAAATTATTAGCTATTAGTTTATTTTCATCTCTGCTGTTTCCTTCTAGTACCCACCCCACCTTTACCGAATTCCAAGAAGTCGGGAGGTCCATCAGTCCTGGCTTTCCTCAATCTTCACCACCTTGCAGTCCATGTGGTTCTCCTTCCCCCTGATTTACCGAAAAAGGCCGGATTTGGTATGTAAGCCTGTCTCTTAGGACCGGGAAAGTGACTTTCTTACGGCTTGTCCACTGATAATCAGTTCTGTTGTTTTAGTCAATAGCTGCCATTTCTCAGTGAGCCGGGGCTTTTTAGAGGTTAGCTAAAATGTATAGCTTATATGGACATTGCTGAAAGAGGTGAGAAGTTTGCCTTCCTAGATACAGTTTGAACTCAGAGCTTGTTCTAGTCCTTTCTGAGAGTGATAAATGCCAACAATGTCTTTAACTAATGCTATGGCTGTTCACTGTGGTCCCTAACCAACACCATGTGGGAGTCAGCCAGCAAATAGTTGATTCTTTTTCAATCGCTTTTTCGTATTTGCTAAGACGTTTTACCAAATATGGTATGTGGCAGTCAGAATTTCATCTATATTCAAGTTTTCCTAGGAAAGGAGTATAGAAAATAGGAAGACAAATGCTAAATCCATGCTTGAATCACTACGTTCTCCATGTCTGTAAAAGTCTTGCACTGTCCTGCTGTCTTTGTGGTAAAATTGCAGTGTAAGCTGCAAATGTGCAGATCAGTGGCAGTACCACGGCGCTGTACCTGGCTCGTAAATTATGCCTCTTCCTGTAGACAGAATCCACTAACTGCTGTAGCCTGAAAGGAAACTGTTCACTTGATTCCTAGATATAGGACTCCTGGCAGGGTCTGTCTTATTATCATGAATAGTTGAGCCAAATGTGTTTAGCTACAGTGGTTTAGAAAGTTCTCTATTAGTTGCCCTTCATCAACTAGATTTTAGGTCAAACCCTCATTTTGGAGAGCAGTTTAAAACCCTTTGTTTTTTATGTGAATAGTTCTCTATGAGTTTTTTAAAATAGCGTTTACATACCATAAAATGTACAACTCTTAAGTGTATAATTTGACCACATCCCTAATAAGACATAGAAACTTCCCATGATGTCAGAGTGTTTTCTCTGGCCTCTTCCAGTCACCCCAAAATCCCCCAAGAAATCGCTATTGTTTTCTGATATATACCACCATAGATTAATTTTATACATATTTCTGTTCCAGAAAGTTTTATTTTGCTTTTATGTGGATGGGTGTTTTGCCCATGTGTGTATCTGTGTACCATGTACATGTCTGGTGCCCCATAAGCCAGAAGATATGTCGGATCCCGGGACTGAAGTTACAGAGGGTCATTAGCTACCATGTGGGTGCTGGGAACTGATCAGATCCTCTGCAAGAGCAGCCAGTGCCCTTAACCACTGAGCCATCTCCCCAACCCGCTCAAATTTTTGTCAAAATAAGTCTTACAAATGATCAACAACTACATTGTTTAGGATGTAGTAGTCAAATATGCTTCTAAAAGATTACTGTTGGATTTTAATGCTTAATTTATTTTAAACTCATGTGATAAGTGGAAGGGGAAAAGGATCATTTTATTTTATTTATTTTGAGTATTACTTACTTGACATTATACATAAGCCACACTGCAGTGCTTTTTAGTAAGTTAGAAGCAACATCATTAGGTAACAGGGAATCCTGATTAAATTGGCTCAGTCAAGAACAGTATAGACACCTGCTTCCTTGTCTTTAACCATTACCTACAACAGGCTGATGAGTAAAATTGAAACACGGGTGAGTCTTGCTTTGTTCTGACAAAAAAGAGGATTTTTCCCAGCATGAAAACATACTTAAAAACCAATTATGTAAATCTAAGTGTAAAGCCGTTCTTTGGAGCTGGAGAGATGGTTCAGTGGTTAGAGCTCTTACTGCTTTCCAGAGAACCTAAGGTTGATTCCCTGCATGCACATAGTGGCTCACACCACCTGAACTCCAGATCCAGGGGATCTGATGCGCTCTTTGGGCCTCTTCGGACACCAGGCACGCACAGAGTGCACAGACTTGGTGCAAAACACCCATACACAGAAAAGTAAACTGAGTTTAATTGAAAGAACACCATTCTTCAGTAGATTTCAGGTGTCATTCCTCATCTTTGTGAAAAATTGGGCATTGCTGATTAAGTCCAATCATATCTTCTGAAAAAATAATTAATCAATGAAGTTCTGTGTATGGGTGTTTTGTCTGCACACCAGAAGAGGGCATCAGGCGGTTGTGAGCCCCCATGTGGATCCTGGAAACTGGACTCAACATCTCCAAGGGCAGCTGGGCTTTTACCTGCCGAGACCCCCATCTATCCCCGCAGTCATAGCTTTAAAAGGGAGAAATAGTGATACGATTTGCTAAACTGAAATTGCTGTTTAAAAAAAAAAAAGTATTGGGCTGGGCATAGTAGTGCACATCTTTATATTCCAGCACTTGGAAAGCAGAAGCAGGAGGATCTCTGTGAGTTCAAGGCAAGCTGGTCTATATATCAAGTTCTAGGACAGCCAGAAATTATTAAAGACCCTGTCTCAAACAACAGACAAACAAGCAAACAACAAATAAACAAAAGGTCATATTCACTTTACTATAATCTAATTTTTATTTAAATCAGGACTGATTGGCCAGCAAAAATTTTCTGTTACCTTTTATACTCTAGATTCTGGTTCATGAGTTAAATCCTAGTACATATCAAAAGCCACAAGGAATTTGCACTAATAAACAGAACATTGCTGTTACTGCTGAGCAGCCTTTCTTAGCCCTAGCAAAGATGACTTTTGTTCCACAGATGTCCTTTTCTGGATTCTCCAAGTATGCCATTGTATCCTCCCTCCAAGTGATGGCTGTGTTGTTACTGCCATTTGTGTAAGAGACTTCTGATGTGTCTTCCTCCCAAACAGGTCTCCATGATTTGCTCTAGTCTTTTGCTTACCGCCATTTTCCACAGTGTGGCATTGAGTGCACTTTGGAACAAAAACCTCTCTGCTCTTCTCAGCATTACCCATGTTTAATTCACTCTTCTATTACTCGGCCAGCTTGAGTGCAGCAGCGTCAGAACTCAGAAGGAAATGATAAAGTGATGGGTAATGTCTGTTGTGGATGCAAAAGAGCCTAGGGACTCCCTGGCCTGGGCTTTGTTTGCTATTGCAATGCTGGGGATTGAGCCCAGCTCCTCAGGAATGCTAGGCATTTGTTGTATGATTTAGCTCCAAGTATGCCTGATGCTCTGGTGGTATACCTTGTGGGTGGTGGGACACTTGGTCCCTGGCCCAATTTGCCTCTTACTTTATTTCATTCAGTTCTCTTCCAGGCCTTATTCACCTTAAAACAGAAAGGATTGTGTTAGCTAGCCTCTCCATTTCCTTCTTAATTACTCCAAAGGTTCATAAATGCTACAAAATTGCTTGTAAAAAGCTGGCTTATAGGAAAATCTTAATTTTATGTTATTTAATACCTGTAATTTGCAAGTTTTTCGAGTATAATGTGTTGCCAGACTCTAAAGTTAACTGCAAAGCAGATCATCTTTTCTTGCTTCGTGTAGGAATCAGAATTCACTCCTATACTGTGTGTACGCAATGCCAATGAACTGGATGTCTTTACAAATTGAGAAATAAACATATATGCCATTTCATGGCTGATTTCACTTTATCCTTTGGATTTGACTTTTTAAATTATAACAAAGATAATGTGTTTACTGCTATAATTTAAGAACTTCATTTAAAATCAAATTTGGAAGATCCCTAGGTATATGTTTTGGAATAGTTTGAACAGCAGCCAGGTGGTCACCAAGTAAAGGGGATGGCTTAACAGGTTGGAGAGACGGCTTGGCAGGTGAGAGCATTTGGTTTCTCTTCCTGAGGCTCTGTTCCCAGCGCCCACATGATGGTGGATGCTCTCTACTTATTTTTTTCTTTGAGACAGTGTCTTTCCCTGGCCTATAGCTCACTAAATAGGCGAGTCCAGCTGCTAGTGATTTGCAGAGACCTCCTAGCTCTGCCCCTCCAGGACTAGAATTATTGCCGCACCCCGATTTTTTAAAAAAAGGGTTCTGAGAATCAGACATGCCTCCTGCTTGTGGTGCAGGCACTGTACTGACTGAGCTGTCTCCCCAGCTCGGTAAGTTACTTTCCGGGTCTCTTAAACATCCCACCTCTCCAAAATAAATAGAGTGAGCCATCTCATCTTATGTTATAACCCAGGTAAGTGTCTGTTTTCAAAGTAGAGTTAACTTTGCCCCAATGAAATAATAGTACAGAATTTGAAATTAGCTATCAGATATATTTGTTAAAATATAAGTTTAAGAATGGACATAAATTGAAAAGCTTAAGGAGCCAGGCACGTAACACATACCACCCCGCTCCTCAGGAGACGGAGGTGGGAGGACCACTTGACTCTAATTCAGGGCTAGTCCAGGCAATGTGAGAAAGTAAAATAAATCTCAATAAAATAAAGATCATTAATGGGGGTGGGCGGGGAGACGGCTTAATCAGTAAACGGCTTGTTCCACAATCGTTAAGACCGCAGTTCAGATCCCTGCACCCATGTAAAAGCCAGGAATGGCATGTGTCTGTAAGCCCACATGGTGCTGAGACAGAAAGGGGCAGACCCCTAGAGCTCATTGGCTAGCCAGTTTTGCAGTATTGGGGAGCTTCTGGTTCCGCTTCATTGAAACTAAGATGGTGGGGGTAGGAAAGGGCCTGCTGCACCAGGGTGAGAACCTGGGTTTGGAGTCCCAGCACTCACAGAAAAGCCAGGCACACATGTCTAAACCCCAGCACTGCACCAGGGGTAGGTGGGGAGGCAGAGTGCAGCAGATTGCACTGACCTGTGACCTCCACATGAAATGCACACACACACACAAAAGAATTTTTAAGGTAGGATAGTTAGAGAATTTTACAAATTGTCTTGGAAAATTAAACAAGTTGAAAATTTCCAGTTTGTAATGACAAAAACAGTTCTGAGATGTATGTTCCAGTTCTCTTCTTTAGAAAACATTTTTTACATTAACTTACAAAGTAACGAGTCTCACTGTTACATCTGCATCACGTCTGTATTAGTCTTCCCTGTTCACAGTCCTTTGCTATTCTCATGCAACCTTCCTCCCCATCGTGATCCACTTTGTTCGTTCATGTCGTATGTGTGTACT